AGAGAGAGAGAGAGAGAGAGAGAGAGAGAGAGAGTTCTTCTTCTTCCTCCTTTCAGTCCACCATCTCTTCCTCACCGTCTCACTACCTGACTTCACTGCATCAGCAGACTACGAGAGAGAGGGATTGGTGACATTTGGATCCAGACTCGACATTGGGCTTCAGACATTTGACGAGGGATTATCTGGGACTTGTACCGAAGACTTGGTGTTGACGACATTCCCATCTCCCCCCTCTTCTTCATCTGATCCCCTCAACTTCATCTGTGTATGGTCTGGACCTGGTGCATTCTCTCTGTGTGTAGCGCCAGCCCCCTTCACACCTTATGACGAGGATGATGTATGTTTGGTCTGGATTGCGACATTGATTGGGCTAGTCCTTGGTATTCTAGTATTTCGCTACGCTGTCTGGTACTACGTGAGAGAGGTCAGTCCCGGTCAGGTCAGGGCTTATATCTAAGTCTTCCACTGCGCTACAAGGTGCCATTTTGTATGTATCAGGATGTACATTGCTTGTTGAGATTCCACTAACATCACATTATCCATTCAGTCCTTTTTATCACATTGCGGATCCTTGGCTATATATACATCGCCCAACTGGGCATGTAACAGTTGGTATCAGTGCACGGCACGTGAATCAGGACAACCTGATCTGACACGTGTGCGGGGACTAATTAGTTGATTAGTCTTGATTGATTGATTAATTGATTGATTGATTAGAGCACACTAATTAGCCCCCAAAATCGCAATTTTGACCTAACTGCCGAAAATCGATTTTTTTTTCTTTTCTTGGATTTTGTTTTCCTGCTATTTCGGTTGTGGAAAATCGCAATAGCGCAACACGTGAAATTTCTGTTTTCTATATATGCAGCTTGAGCATATGCATTCACGTTTTGGTTCATTGATGACATCCTATTCTGAAATAACCCCCTGCCTCCTCATGCTGGATATTGTCTTGAGTGGAAAGACACTACAGAGCAACAATGGTCATGTCTCTTTCTGGGGGCAGGAATCTCAGTTCGGCCAGACAGCTCACGTCAGATTGACGTCTTTGACATGGTTGAGGCTTATTAGGCATTTCCTGTCTATGCTATCCTAGTGCTTCCGCCAATGCCACAGCTTATCAGCTTGCAGGTGTGCTCACGGGACAGTGGACAGGTCCGAGTATATTTGTAACAATGCTACCAACTTTGTATGCTCGTTAGGGGCCATCCCACAGTGTCCTGGCCAGAGTTGGACTGCTTATGTGCATGGCCAGCAGCATCAGCTGCCCGCTCCTCTCACCTGGCTTACGAACTGGTTCGCAGCATGTTGTGCTGGGTACTAGCGGACCCACTGCCAAATGTCAATTCTGAGTGCAGGCAGCATCAGCCCTCCGCACAGCCACACACAGTGGGCCGGCTTCCGTGGTTATTACTACCAGACCGGCGATTGCTAATGCAGATGCTGCAATCCATCCGGAAACCAGACCTCCACCCTACCATTGTGGCAGCTGCATAAAGTGTGCCACCACAGGCTGAAGAGCGGCTGCAGCCCAACCCTGGTGCTGACTCACAAGAAAGAGATCTGAATGGTCAAGCTGAGCACACGGCTGATCATTTGCCGCCTGCTGTCCTCATCATTAACACATTCATGGTGGATGTGCCATCACAGATGCCTCTTTGGTGGAGATGTGCCCCATCTCCACCACCACCTCGCACACAGCGGCCTTGTTTTGCCGTGAACAGCATGATCATCACGCCCTTGGTGGAGTCAGAGATCTACTCCCCTGCCATGCTTGCAACCCTACTAAATGATGTCGTCACTTTCAATACACGTGATCTAGGAATAGTACATACCGAGTTGGTTGTCCAGAATGTGGCGACGACTTACAGTGCTACAAGCCCGTGTGATCAGACTCAAGGTGCAGCCACCTGTACGGCATTTGCGCAACCGGCAGCCACTTAAGTACAAGTGCTGCTAATCAGCTTCTGCTGCTTGCATCAGACACCTCCACTTCTAATCCACTTCAGCCCGATTGCTCTCCTACTCCCAATGACAATGATCCACCCTCTGATCATTTGACAGAACCTCCAACTGGAGATGCTCTCTCTCCTGAACATATGCTAGACCCGATGGAGTTATCTCAGGCAGAGGTGCTTGACAGACACTGTCAAGACCGGAATGAACCTCCCCCTGCCATGCAATCAGCAGAATCGAATGATCTCATTGTGCGACAGTGAGGCTGCTGTGTGGACTATGCCATTAATGTGTGTCCCTACTTACAATTGCAATCCCTATGCTGTTTCTGACTATGGAGACATTTTCCGCTGGATAGAAGAGGGGCACTCTGCTGTCTGCCGAGAGGATGACAGTAGTCTATGACATTTATGGGAAGAGGACTGCAACTCCAGTCCGCTTTGCAGAATTATATGCCTGACATGGACCCAAATATCGTGCATACATCCTGCATCGCCCGGGTTATTTCAGTGCTGTTCCCTTCGTGGATAATTCATGAATTATGGGATATTGGCAGTAGGGTGCACTCACCTGGGAAAAATCTTACCTCTTACTATCACCGAGTGGCAGAATCCCACTTGGTCTGGCTGGTCAATGAGGAACAGTATGCGCATGTGACATGCAAGCTCTACAGTCTCTGGGGAACAATCCTGTGGACCCTCCCCCCTCCCCTGAACGTGGCCAGGCTGCATCCCATGCCTGTGCAGATAGGATGGGTTCTGCCGGGCATGGTGAGGGTGTCCCTTCAGATGACGGTGGTGTGTCATGCCATTGTGTCCGCACACAGGCACACTCGGTTAGCATGCACACGACACAATCTCTGCTCTGACCACTGCGAAGGGATCGTCACTGCCAGCCTCTGCCACGAAAACTGTGACCGGATGTCTTGCACTCACCCCCCCCCACCCCACCCACCCTTATTGCTTGGCCAATAGACCATTTTGGCCTCGAGCCTGCTTGAATAACTGTGAATGCGAGCCTGCTTTCCTCATGGCATGTCAGCATCATGACACATTGTCATTAATGTTTCAAGGAAGCTGTCATGGATAGCATGTGACTCTGCTATGTGGACTATCCCGGATGCCATCACCCACCACATCCTCCATTCATCTCTCTCATGCAATGTTAGGCATCCTCCGGGTGCACCTGTAGTCGGACCCTATCCATCCTTGCCATGTAAGGAACAGACGCAGCTGCCTGAGGTGGAGAATAGACTCACATGCACCACCTACAGAGTGCAGAACTGAAACCTTATTGCTGCCACACAGCAATTGCAGACCACACCTAAACACCCTTGCTTTGGATCAGGTCCTGTAATCGCCTTGCCCATGGATAGAGAGGGAATATCAGCTGCGGAAACCCAAGAAACTTGCTTAATGCGACACTGTGATTCCCCACCTGAGATTCAGCTAGCATGTGGTTGGCATGCTTTCTTCTGTGAGGATTATGAAGGTATAGCCCATGGAAGGCTTTGTTTTCATACGTATGATGACAGTCAACATTGTGCTCATGTACGACACCCTGATATGACATGTCCTGTTTGTAGACAGCGGCTGGTACGGCCATGCCTAAACAATTTGCGGTTGGCGTGCCTGTGTGTTCCTAGCATGTTGGAGCCACGTAGCCTGTGACATCTGTCTGCACTGTGTCATTCGGTGCAGCAACTGCAACCACGAGAACTGGATGTGGTGCTTCAACATTCCACACAGGAACCAGTTGTCTCCAGTATGCAGGGGTGGCCACTTACCATAGATAACACCTGCTCCGCAACTCAAATCTTCTCCGCAACCCAAACACTGGCTGGCCTCTTGTGCCATTCCATAGTAGTCTGCTCTGGCAGTGAGTACTTAGAACTCCGTGAAGTTTATTTTTCCTCTGTTCTATTTCTTTGTCCCTCCACTTCCCTCCTCTTCCTTCTCCCTCATCCTTCCCCTTGTGTAGAACTTCTCCCTCCCCTTCCCCTTCTCCTTCTCCTTCCTCCCTCCCCTTGTGTAGCACTGCTAAATGCAGTTAATATCAAATGAGAACAGACAAAATATAAGGTGAAGGTGTGCTGAAAAATGAAAAGTATACCTCCCCCTTCATTCTGCCTCCTCATATCGTGCAAGTTGGCCGTCATGGCACGCGGCGTGGTGGGCAGCTCACGCTTCACCACATCCATCCTTGCATGTGAGAGGTGCAATAAAAGGGGAGGTGAAAGAAGAAATAAAAGGGAAACCACAAAAAAGCCAAAGTAAGTGGATGGTCGCTGGCTCAGTGGTTAGAGCACTGGTTGGAAATGTGCATTGTGGTATGAGATTGCAAGTTCAAAATTTCGTTGCCTCATACTGCCTAGACTGGCGATAACCAAAAACCTGCTGAAAACTGTCGAAGCCGTCGATACCTCTGCAGGGCCACTTGGACCCTCCGATCTGTCAGTCTCTTCAGTATGTACTAGGCCATGGGGGTGCCATGGTTGAGCCTGGGTGCAGCCAGTATGTTTCCCGTCACTATGGCACCCGTACGAGAGTCCACACAGAGCGAACTTAGACTACGGTAGGGCCCATCTCAGGGGGGACAATCCTACACACACACTGGGTGTTAGTATGGGATAGGACTGGGTACTTCTCATCCCACAGGTATTTCACGATGCTTGCGGGTGGTGCTTCATCCAGGCTGACGTCCGTGTGAACTCTCATTGGGAGAATTAGTCGGGATTGTGGATTCTTGGGGAGCCTTGGGTAGGAGGGCATCATGCGTAGGATAGGGAAGGGCGGGACATTGCATCTTAGTGGAAGGGAAGTTCGCTGCGCATAGAGTCTGGGGGATGAGGCACAGATGGGGAATGATTGCATATGCATGGACCCTACCTGTGCCCAGGTTGTCCTTAACATTAGAGTTAGGGTCATGTCCGCACGAAAACGTTCGGGTTAGTCTGGTAAGCGTTCACGCAGATCACGACTTGTGATCTGAGCATTAGCATAGGTCATGGTACCATGGTGCCATCTTGAGGTGACTCCCCCAAGGTCCCTGCAATCCATCTGACCTCCCAATGAATAAGTACTACGGGCACCTCCTGAGGCCTGGCCACCACCATCTACTACACCCTGGACCTTTTTCCGGGGGGGAAGAAAAAAAAAGCCAAAGTAAGGACAGGGAAGAAAGAAAGAACACAAGGAAAAGGCAATAGAACAGTTTCAATATGCGTCATGTTGTTTGCTATAGAGAGAGAGTTTGGGGTTTCTTCAAATCACACATCCCGGTCTTGCTAGCTCTCTGTCCTGATAGATTTGAGCGGCTAGGATCAGGCTCATACTAGTGAGCTATTCTTCTTTGTGGTGGATCCTTTGTTGGTTGTTCTTTATTAATACATGGCCTAATTCTTTGACCTGCTGTAGAGCATGGCCTCTCTTGATGAAGGTATGTCTGTGGGTGGCCACCAGCTTTTTTGGGCGGGAATGTTTGTTTGGAGTCATGGCCACGGTATCTTCGAGAGGAGGCACAGCGAGTTTTTGTTGTGGGTGTCACTCCCATGGCCTGCTATTTTGGAGCATATGGAAGATGGGGACTTCCATGTGCTTTAAGCAATTGTGCTCCTGGTATTGCGTGGAGATTCTGTGGAGTTATTTTGTAGCTTTATGGGCTGACCCAGAGGGCTCTTCCGATTCTTTTGGACCATTGGAGGTTCTGGCTGGTGCTTTCTTGTTGGTAGTGCCTTTTGTGTTGTGGTGAACTTTTATTAAGGATGTTGCCTTTTGTCCTTCATCGATGTATGCCCGAATATTTGGGTTTGTGCCTGGTATGTAAAGTTGCGGAGCAGGCTAGAGTTGTACGGTGAGTGGGCACTCAACGCTTCTCTCTACCTTTTTTCCTCCGATTGACCATATCAAGGTCGTACATGCGCATGAGGTAGTTCGTGCTACGAACTTCTTCCATGCGTTGCAGTTGCCGGTAGTAGTTGCATTGCACCCAGACCCTCAAGCGGCCACGCATGTTCGTGTATATGACAAGCTGATGCCACCCACACATGTCCAGTTCTGCAACTTCACTGATGTGGCCTTGAGTGTTATTCCTGGCATGACCTTTCCGGATTCCTCGAACTGTGAATGCCACAGTCTTTTCGCATTGTTCTGATCTTGTGGATGACCATATTGTGTCTGTTGGCTACAATATCATCCCGAACGATAACCTTCGCAAACTTTTTCAAGAAGGTTCTAAGTATCGCTTGAACGGGGGGACTGCTGATGTGCTTCAAGCACTGGCCAACGGACTTTATGAGTACATTGCCAACTACAAAGAGTGTTGGCCAGACACTCTCGATCTGCTTCTTTCTCGTCTCTTTCTCGTAAGTTGAACAGTTGGCGTTCTGCAATCCTTGCGCATTGTCAATCCAATGCATCTTCGTCTTCCAATCGTGGAGCCAGCCACGTTCACTTCATTCTGCGCATGCCTCCTTGCATGAAGGTTGTCTGTGGGAGGCCACCAGCTTTTTTGGGCGGGAATGTTTGTTTGGTGTCATTGCCACGGTATCTTTGCGAGGAGGCTCGGAGAGTCTTTGTTGATGGTGTCACTCTCATGGGCTGCTCTTTTGGAGCACATGGAAGATGGGGGACTTTGATGGTGTTTTAAGCAGTTGTGCTCCTGGTGTCGTGTGGAGATTCTGTGGAGTTATTTTGTGGCTTTATGGGCCGACTCAGAGGGCTCTTCCAATTCTTTCGGACCATTGGAGGTTCTGGTCGGTGCTTTCTTGCTGGTAGTGCCTTCTGTGTTGTAGTGCACTTTTGATAAGGGTGTTGCCTTTTGTCCTTCATTGATGTAATGCCCGAATGTTTGGGTCTGTGCTTGGTATGTGATTTTGCGGAGCAGGCTGGTGTTGTACGGTGAGTGGGCACTTGGCACTTCCCTCTACCTTTTTTCCTTAGATTTAAAAAATTATATATATATATGAGTTGGTGAAACTCCGACGAAACAGTTTGTCACAGCCCCTCGTTTGTTGTCCTCTTCTCCCTCTCTGCCTACGGTTTACCGGGCAGTTCTATTTGACGATATATATATAACAGAACTGCCCAGTAAACCGTGGGCAGAGAGGGAGAAGAGGACAACAAACGAGGGGCTGTGACAAACTGTTTCGTCGGAGTTTAAACGATTCATCAGGAGGCTGAACCATACATATTTACCAGGAGGCTGAACCATATATATTTATGTATATATATATCGCCTAACAGAGCTGCCCGGTAAACCGTAGGCAGAGAGGGAGAAGAGGACAAGAAACCAGGGGCTGTGACAAACTGTTTCATCGGAGTTTCACTGACTCATCAGGTATATATTGTCACATAACTATGAACTAAAAGAGCCCACTTCGCGAAACAAACGGTAAAGATATATAAACATCCGTGCAAATGTATCTTTTCAGCGGCAGACGGGTGTGTGGGCACTTCCTGCTTAACCACACAAACGTGGAGATTCTGGAGAACCTTGCATTTTCTATTATATTTCCCGTTTATACTTCTTTTGTTTTATGGATGTTTTGTGATGACTTGTAGATGGAATGAGAGAGAGAGTTTGTGGATGCTGCAGTCCACGCGTGCACTCACACACACCGTGACTGTCAAAGTGGCTGCAGCCTGCAGGGTATGATTACCAGCACCCTACTCTTCTAGCAGATGCAGAATGTGTGCCACCACAGACTGGAGAACATCTGCAGCCCAACCCTGCAGGTGACTCAAGAAAGAGAGCTGAGAAGAGGGTTGATCAGTTGCAGCCGCCTTCCTGCACTTATTCTCACCCTGCTGATTCTTTGTCACCAACTCTGGTCCTGTCCCCTGCATCCTTTTGGTACACCATCTCCGTCGTCCACTGCCTCCCATTCTTCTTCTACTTCTGCTTCTTCTTCTTCTTCTTCTTCTTCTTCTTCTTCTTCTTCTTCTTCTTCGTCCCCACCTCCACTATCGTCTCCGAGGCAGCAGCCTCATGTGTACATGGACATTATGATCTTTGCACTCCCAGTGGGATTCACCATGCTTGCGACATCGGGGAATGACATCATTGTCCCCAATACATGCGAGCCATGAATGTCACATATCGATTCTGGTGTCCACAATGCGGTGATGATTTCTACAGTGCTGCTGGCCTGCACGTGGCGCTGCCACTTGTACAGCAGTTGCATGACTAGCAACTCCTAGTATCTGACTCGGCCACTTCCCCACCTCCAAATGATGTTGATGTGCCCTCTCATCATTTGATAGAACTCACAACTGATGGTGATCTGGTTCTGGAACACTTGCCAGAGCCATTCGAGTGATTAGGGCCAGAAGTGTCTAGCAGAAACTGCTGAGACTGGATTGAGCCTCCCTCCTCCTCAGCAATCTGCGGAACCAAATCACCTCATTGCGCTGGCATGTACAGGACATCTCTCTGCTGCGAACACTATGAAGGGATGATCGCTGCTAGCCTCTCACACGAAAACAGTGAAC